GGCATGAGTGTTACAGATATGGTTAAGAGACGGAGAACGGCTGTTGAGATTACGCTAGTCATTCGAGATAATAAATTAAAGCGTTCATTTAGATAATTAAATGTCATTGACACGTTTACCAGTAAGAACGAACGATACCGAGCGAATTCTAAAGAACTTATATTTTATATCAAATAATACACCTTTTTCGTGTTTCGTTTTAAACTCTTGTTGCGTGTTACACGTTGATACGCTGCAGCAGCCATCTTGCTCATTAAACTTAATCTTACAGAAGTTCTGAAGAGTTATGGCGATGAACTTTACTCCAAGATTTCACTTCGTTACCATGCATGCATCAAAAGTTAGCTGCAATTTTAACCGTTAATAAAATTGTACCCGATTAACACCGTGACAGGGCAAGAAGTTAAGAGTAGTAACAATTAATTTGTCGATTCAATTAATCTCGGACGAGTATTATTTAACCTAGACCACTTTTTTCGATTATAGGAGAAAATTTGAATACGTTTTAAACACACGGTCGACTGTTATCTTGTCACGCTCTGTGTCGTCACGTTCTACTTTGTCACGTCGTCAAAGACTATCGAACCGATACTTAGGCCGATTTGGGTAGTAAGAGGATTAATTGTACAAGTGTCGGAATATTCGAAAATGGGGATATCAAAGTTTGAAGATGCAAGAAAGCATCTTGAAATGATTTATTTAGGAGTTGTAAAGAAGGAATTGATGGTACGGTTGTAAGATAGTTCCGTTGAGGGGCGCGCGTTTAAGGAGCAAATCAGGAGAGAATAAAAAGGATCGCTTTACAAAACGCTATTTGAACAGTCATCGAGTTTAACGCTTCGAAGCAATTTCCACGGTAATTTCATGGTAAGAGGATGCAAGCGAACTTCCACTCGAATACTGTATTCTTACCCCGAGAATCGAATTTCTTCGGAACTTAATCTCCCGCGCTGCCACTCCATCAGACGAGCGTCAATGTAAATTAAATCGTTCTTCGCTGTCACTCGAATCTCGAATACGGGTTAAAATTAGCATCGCGTATAAATAATCGCTTTTCTTTCCTCGTGTTACCGTGCCCGTTCTTCTCAATTGCCGAGAATTAATAACGCCAGCGATTTTTCAAACTTATTGGATCGTTTACGCACGTTGCATCGCGCTCTGCTAGATAGTCCTTCAAACTCTGCAGATACCTATACGCGTACGTACGTGCTGTTTATCGAGAAACCACAACGTTTCCCTTTACACGGGATTCGCTATCGACTGATGAAAATTGTTGCGTAACTCTTTGAATACCGTACCAATTATGAGATGAAAATCTCGGATGGAAACAGTTTCGTCAAACCGACGCTTTGACTGTTGGATGTTCGCGTTTTGGAGCTTGGAATTTAATAAAAATTAATACGCAAGCGTTTCTTTAGCGAACGTAAAATGGCTGACGATCGGTTGTTCAAACGTATCAAGTCTGATACAGTTTCGCGATATAAAAGCAAAATACCACCTACGCCACGTATATCTAAACTTTAAAGCTCGAAAGAGATTGCTGTTTCAACGTTTTATTAATATTTCAAATATGGCTGATTGCAACGACTGTTTTTTAAGCCTATAAAGTCTCGTAAAATAGCACGTATTCCACGTCCGTTCAAAGCATGAAGCTTGACAAAGGGTATAAACGTTTCATCGAAGCTTCAAATACGGCATGACTAATAATCGCTTAAAACGAACAGTGACCGATTTTTAAACGCGTAAAGCACAATGGTAACACGAAAGTAAAATAGAACCGTAGCTAACATGCATTGAAACTGCACAAATTAATGTTCTCTCAAATTTACGAATACATTGTTACGCAACTTTGAAAGTTCCATGTTCGATAAAAAAATAAAAGTTGTCAATATATTCGTAGAATCAATTGCGTGTGACCATGCTGATTATTATATAGTAAGTAGTTAAAACACGTGCACTTGAAATTAACTTTCCATTGGTCAACGAGGTTGTGTAACTCTTGAAATGACACCCCAATTACGATAAGAAAATAAGCAAGGCAAATGTACATATCGTGTCGTGTGTAACCTTAAATTTATTCGGAAGCGACTTTCAAACGATAGAGATCGATATGTATCTGTCAACCGAATTATAATAAGAAGATAAGTGACGCAAATACATTTCATGCGACCAATTGTGTGTAACCACTTGGACGGTGCAAATTGCGATATCGATACAAATTGACTTTCGAGCGATAGAAATTCTTATATAATTCTCAGAATGCTATCCCAATTATAATGGTTAAATGGGCGAAGCAAATAAATTTCATGTGATCAATTGTGTGCGATCACGTGATAAAGCGTGGCCACACTGCTCAAAGCGTAAACGGCAAAACTAATGCAAGTAATTGACTTTAAACGGGCTTTAGAATCGATTTACATGGAATGTCACCTCGCGTAGAATCGACGTTAAATATCAGGTTCGAACGTTCGGTAACTCGTCTACGAAATTCAAAGAAAAGGTACGCTCGTTCTTCTAACTATTCAAATGCTTTGTTTTCGCAAGAGTACAGGGTCATTTTGATTCCGGTAAGGTCTGCGACATGGTCTGGATTTAAAACTCGTACGTGACTCGTTGCCCTCGAGATTTCGGATTTATGATCTTCTCTTACCTCGTGTCTTCTCGGTTTATTTCTTCGTCGTTCGAAAAACACTTTTACGAAACTCTAAAAGACATCCTCGAGTAAGATCGAAATTTTCACGATCGATAGGAAATCTCTCGATTTCGCGTCCGAGGGAAATTCGCTTTGTCCCCGTTCCGCCGATCGATCAATTCGATTTATTTTTGCGTCGCGCACGCCCGTGAGTCTGATCGCTGTTGACTTACATCACTGTCGTCGTTGGTGGCTCATTTGCCAATCGTCACGTGTCCTCGTTCGACGTCGAAATCGAATATCAATGGTACGCGTTCGTAGACGCACGTGCGAAGTTCGATAGTCTGCATCTCGATTTGCCAATCGAACTTCCGCCTAGGCGGTGTCAATGTCTGGCGAGCCCGTTCGTATTATTAATAGTCGTTCGGTGATAATTCGGTGTTCTTCCGTGCACGCGCAACGAAGATGGAGAATGCACATACGCGATAAAAAGACTATCCGGATCGCGTATACGGTTTATAGAGTGGAACAGGGTGTGGATAATGTGTCGCGTTGATTTCTACCGTTGGGTAACCAACTTTCCGTCAGATATGAGTCACCAAAGCGATTTCGGATGATAACTTCTCCGCGCAAGTTATTTTCCAAAGCGTTATTCGACGCTGTCCTCGTTTCGCATTTTCAAAGTTTGTGCATCCGCGAGCTAAATATACCTTACATTTAATTTATCTTTCATACGGAAGCGTAACGCGTATCATCCCCTATTCACGGAGGAAACGTGTTTACGTGTTACGTTTTAGTAATTGGAAGTTTGCACGCGATCCGTTTGATGTTATTTATTCCTAGGGACGCGGAAATTTCGAAAATCGTTGTTTATCGTCGGGAAGGAAAAATATTAGATTCGGGTATGTAAAATTACGTTCGATCAAAGTAAACGAGCTTCGAGGCTCGTTGTCGACGCCAGTCACGTACGTTTATTATCTGTCTCCCTCGCCATAATGACGTCATGTTAATGAGATGCTCGGTTAAGCATAAATTTCGATCGATGGCGTGCGATTGATCGTGACGATGGCTGTAACGCTCCTCCGCTTTAGCTGCTGGAAATTTCAAGTCTCCGCTTACTGACGTAGGCAACAATGATTTAATTTATACAACGTTCGAAAAACCTTGCTTGCCACGTTACATCCTTAATACCATCATCCTGTTACGGTAGCATTAAAAACCTTAACGGGTCTTATCGCTTTTTCGTTATGTAAATCGATCAACGCGTTCGGTGATCGTTTTCTGAAAAGAACCGCCATCGACAGTCTATCGTCCCGATCATTATTATTATCGAAAAATTATTATCCGAATAGGTCGTTAGCGTATAAATATCGTAGATACACGTGTACGTCGTGTTCATTTTTGAACCAAGTTTAAACACGTAAAGCGAACTAATTACGTCACATTTAATTAACGCGATAAACACGGCATTCGTTGTATTAAAACAACATATAATGAAGCGTCGAGATTCTGTTACGAACACCGTGCCTATAAAAGGTACAATCTAACGTTTCGAGCGCTGCAAATCATCAATTAAATATTCTCGTTCATTCATTACGCGATTGTAATTCTATGATTCTAGTATTACCTCAGACCCAGTGTGGTCGCCGTATCAATTCAGGCTCGGTTTATATCTGTCCCACGTAACCGGTGATAACTAACGAATATTAAAAGCGCACACAACATCGAATGACGCGTGCGAACGCGTTGGATGTCGTTGAAAGTTTACGATTCACGTGAAACCTTAAAAATAGGTCGAAATGTTACGTTCTGATATTGCTGGTCTGCTCCGCGGATGGTTGTGCATCAGCCTTTTACTGCTTCATATCGCGTTTATTACGCTTCTGTACAGGGTGTTTCGCATGACTGGGCCAAGCTCGACAACAATAGAAAATAGAAAAAACTTCGAATAACGCCATTTAATTTCGTGTAATGGCATTTTTTCTATTCTCTGTCGTTTTCAAGCTGTCCCAGTTGCGATAGATTGCATACATAACCGATCGTATTCGAGGTTGTGACCGTACAGATTGTTGAACTTATCTCGATATCGATCATACGGTCGTGTTATAAAAAAAACGAACGTTAACGTCTTTAAGGATGGTATCTTCTGGAGTTAACATTCCATTCGTTATAAATCGATAGTAATCAAGTAAGATAACTCGTAAGAGCGTTAATAAGGTCACACACGTGGCAGAGAGGATGTCTTTGACATCGGAAATCACTTCGGAGATTCGTTGTCAGATTGCCATAGAAGCTTAGTCATTCTTTGTTACTATCAGAAAACTAGCAGCGGAGCATAAGTGAGACACGGTGAACAATTATTCCGCAGAATACGAGGAAAGTGAAGTTGAAATTGAATTCGAAGCTGACCCAAACGGACGCTGTCGAAACTCGAAGAAGAATCTTTAACCGCTCTCTCGAAGATGGCTCCAGCGACGTCCGACCGCCAGCAACCGGAAGAAGATTCGACCGAATCAATGAGTCCGACACTTCGATACCTCGAGGAGAAACGCTAAGGCATGCTCTGAGACGTTTCATCTCGGAGATAAAATAGCTAGAGGAATCGATAGAGTATATATCGGAGAATAAGAGCGAACACCAAGCGATTGTCGGGGGTCGCGGACGGTGTTCGATGAGAACCGAACAAGATTTGGTGCATACCCAGCGTACGTGAAAAGATCCTCGGGCACGAGGACGGGGTGCCGAGGAGATCGTCATCGACAACGACGATCACGACGACGACGATGCTGCGATCGCCGGCTCGCGTCGTCCTTCAGGATTCTTCCGCCTCCACGTCCTCGACTCTGTCGGCCCCACCGACGCCGGTTCACCACGGCGCCGCCTCCTCTTCGGCCACCGCCTC